TTCCAGGAAGCATGGCGAAGGCAAACCCTCTCAAAGAAATGTAATGATCATGTTACTAGTAATAAGTATTTTTTGTTGACATATATATATATAATCTACATAATCATGAAGGTCTCTAGAATCACCCAAACAAAACAAATCTTCAAGTTTTTTTTTTGTATACTTAATCAAAAGTAATGACATATAAACATATCATGGGGGAAATGGGGTATACTGTTAATAGGTTAATAAATCAAGGTTATTGGTCTTGTTTAGTGCTTTTTGCTTTCATAATATCCCACCTAAAACATAACTTAACCCTTTAAGTGACATCTGTACTGTACAGTAAACCTTAATTTGATAGGGAATAAATCTGTCAAAAGGATGAGATGAGAGAGCAATCTTTCCACAGCTCTACTGCTCCACTTCTGTGTCTGCTTTTGCCATGAGGGGAGGGGGGGGGGGATTTTTCAGCTTTCAAGTGACAGCAGCAGCTTACAAACTTCCGTCAGTCACACAAAAGGAAGAATGGAAAGATAAAGAGCTAACGCATGGGATTAATTGCTGTAGATGATCTTTTTCTCCCTTTTATGACATTATGTATTGTAAGGGGCAAAATATTGAGGTGCCTTTATCCAGTTTGGATGTGTTTCATTCTTTATGACTAGTAGCTTATGATTCTATTATAATGTTAATATTCAGACAAGTAATGAGTTTACATTTACATTATTATATGAAATCACCTACTACAGTCAGCCATTGAATACTATGGGCCTAAAAAAAATGCGTAATTTTCTTTCAGGTATACCATTTTTATTATACAGATGCAATATTTTCTTCATGCGATTTATTTTTATTTATTTATTTTCATTTAACTAACACACCTCTAAGAATGAAAATACCTGCATGTTCAATAATAAGTAAATAAATAAACAATTATGGGTGTAGCCTACACATGATAATTATTTAAATAATCATATATTTGAAAAAGAATATAAGTAATTTCATGAATATCAAGGACTTTTGGGTTAATCCATTTGACCTAATCAATATGTGCCTATTCATAAAATGTGATATTTTACATATTTACATCACAAAGTATAGTATGAAAATATGTTTATGTAAATTTATAAAACGACTTGTACCTTCACTGCAGTACTCCTTGTAGGCTACTTATACTAAAACTGCTTACGTAAGGGAAAGTTCACACAAAAATGGAAATTGTGTCATCATTGTGTTATCTTCAGGTTGCAAACCTGAGATTCTTTCTTCTGTTGAGCACAAAAGATGATATTTTGCAGAATGTTGGTAACCAAACAGTTAAATGTGTAATTTCCTATCAGGTATACCTTTTTTATTATATAGATGTAATATTTTCTTCATTCTATTTATTTATTTCAATTAACTTTTTGATACACAATACCCTGTTGGGGCAACTTAATGGCTGCACTATGTTCCACCACTTTAAGACAAATGGATTTGTGTTTTCATATTCAAGAGATTATAAGCAAGATGAAACTTTTTTGGGGTTTGCATCGAATGTTCTTCGACTTTTATGCATGATAAATTTGTTTATGAATAAAGATTGATCTGTTGAAAGCAGTTATTTTGAGTTAGATGCCAAAAGCTCTCCTCCTATTCAAATTTGACATTGAAGTGGTGCATACAGCATATTTGCCCACCGGCAACTATAGTTGCCACACATTCAAATATGATTTAAGGAAAAAAAAAAAAACTGGGGGGAAAAATGCAGAACATGTTCACATAGGATACTATTAACATGACTATATGCATGAAACCATTCAGAAAAATTTGGGCACAAATGGGTTAAAGATTATTTTGTAAAGTTCTCATGCACTGCATGATCCATATGACCTTTGCATAAATAAATAAAAAACCTGTTCATAACCCAGCAGCAGATATAAAACTCTTATCAAAGAGAGACTCACCAGTCTCCTTAACATTGAAGGCAATCTGACCACTTGCATCGTCAACTTGGCCGACTATTAAACCGCTTGGAGCATTAACAGTCACAGAGAGATGTCTGTCCAGAGCCACACCGGTCACCAGCTGGACCTGAACAAACACACAGTGAGCTACAACATGCGAAGGATTCAAGACCATACCAATATTTCCATGTAGAAAGTTGTCTTACCATGAAGTTTAAGTAGAAGCGCTCACCGAAGTGAGCAAAGTGCCAGTAGCACTGGAGGTCTCCATGCTGCAGCATGATGGAAAAGTCATACTGATCGGCTCCCCAGAAAAGCTCCTGATCGGAGAGCTCTGGATGAGGGTCGTTCAGCGCTCCACTGTTGCTCAACCCAAATAATAACAGAAGCCAAATGAGATAAAAGCCGTTCTGTAACATTTCAAATGTGAATTATTTTTGGCAATAAGCTAAATTAAACAGGAGAGCTGTTCAGTTTGAGTGCACTGAAGTTTCTGATGATGATTAACTCGGACGTGTGGCGAAAATTTGTTCTGCCCCATACAGCTGGGAAAATCCAAGTTAGGCCACAGGTGCTCTGGAAAACATTTCTGAAGCGCCCTCACAGCATTTCTTTACAATACATCTTGATTCCTCATACTTGCTGGACTTGAAAAAAGTTGTAAAAGTTGTCTAAAACTATGTAAAATCTCCACCTTTTTCATTTTATGTTATTATTATTATTATTATACAATACATTTTACAATTAAGATAATTTACATTCAATATACAGTTATTTATTGTTTTTAAGCACCATGTTTCAATGGTGAGTTAAAACGTGAGTAAAGATGAAAAGATGAAAGCTGTAAGGTGTACATAAAACACTCACCATAAATATATATTTATTTATTTATTTATTCACTTGCTTACGAAAAAGAGGGACCAGTAGATAATTTTTGTTGTTGCTTTTTCACAGTTCATCCTCTCTTCTTTTCTCCTCCAGAGGGCGATCGAGAGGCTTTTTTCGCTCTATAATAGCAACTCACAGTGCTTTAAGGGGTCATATTATGCTTTTTCACTGTTTGAATTTTAGTCAGTGTGTAGTGTGTTTGTTTGGGCATAAAAAAGATCTAGAAAGTTACAAATCTCAACCCAACATGAGAGCATGTTCTAGTACAGTGTTTCCCAACCGGGGTGCCATCGGTCGAGAGCAGGGGTGCCGTGTAAAAAATAATTTAAAAATATTATTAAATTGCTAAAATGTTCAAAAAAGCATCTATTATATAATATCCATTTATGATGTTGCCAATAATTAGAGATGCACCGAAATTTCGGCTGCCGAAAATTAGTTCACCGCTCAGGTTTCACTTTCACATGGTGTGACGCTCTGCGTATTATCCCGCTCTATGTGTGTGCGCTCCGCTCAGTCGCTCCACTCATATACCGTTCATGCGAATCGGAACAGCAAAGTCCACTCAAAAATTGAGCTGACAGGAAACATCAATGTAGTACAATCAAGCGTAGCGTTAGTTCTGGCAGGTCACATCAGTCAAGCTCGCATCAGCTGACCTTCAGCTGATCTCCATCTACCTATGGGAATATGACACGTATCTAAGCATTCATACTGTATATAAGGTCCCTCAGTATTATCAGCAGTTTTCGCATTGCTCAATAGCTAATTACCCTCCTCCATCCCCAACTCCTCCTCTGTCAGTCGGGATTCAGCCTTCTTATTCCCATTCTAAAATGTGTACATAAAATGATTGAACTTTAACAATATCTGCAATACATTTATGTTAGTTCTGTTCTGTTTACACTGGGGGGTTATTGCTGCTCTCTCTGCTCTCATCCATGCTAGGCTGCATGGAGGCGCAGGAAGTTCTTGCCCAGAACAGAACCATACCGCCAATCCAAACTGTATGCTAATTGTCAATCATCTTTGACGATAGTGGTCCTGACAGATGTATTGTTTCTGTCTGCAATAGCCCTACTGTGTTGTAACATGGTGTGGTATATGGGCAACTCTGGTAACGCTGCCCTCTCATTCATTGATCTGCTAACCACTATGTTATGCTTGTGTGTACTGATAATAATAGCTTTCTAGGACTAAACATTATTTGGATAATTGGTAAAAAAAAATCTTAACCCTACTGTTAGATCTACATGAAAAACTAAAAAGCAATTTATTTAATTCGCAGGCCTGTCATTATTTTTTATTTGTGCTATCATTATTAATTTCTTTATTTGTTCTTATTTTATTACTGACTGCTTACTTGTCATTTTTTATTCAATTCAAAGTTTGAAATCAAGCTATCTCGTGCTACTGCACCAAAATTACCCCACTGTAAAATTAAAAAA